CTTTGGAAACCGTTTCCGATAAATTGACGTCGTATCGAGAGAATTTGTATAAAAGAAATCAACCTTCTCTTTCAGCTTCTTAACAAAGACTCGGTTAAATGGTCTCGCGAGATAACAGCTGGATGGAAGGGACTTCGTCCGCGGGCTGCGGGGTCAACGTGGCACAGATTCGCGTGCTGAGCGTCGTGGTGTTGGGGATCCGCCAGGCGGAGTGCACGAAGCGGAATGAGAGAGATCGGTTTATGCGCTCGTATGTGGAAGCGCGCGTATCGCGAGACGACGAAGCGTAACGCACGTATACAAAGGAGCGCGTGCACACACACACGCACGCGGCGGGACGAGCCGCTGCCGTTGGTGTTGGTCGATCAATACGCTATGCTGGTGGAAGCGAGATGAGAGGAGGAAGCTGAAGGGCACGGGAGGATGGGAAAGAGGGAGGAGGCATTGTTCAAGTCGTGGACACACTGGACCGATATTTGCACAATGCGCAGTCCGGAAAGTCGCGTGGCCGTGTTCGGGATTTCCTCGCTGATCCATCTTGCCCTCCAAATCGTCATAGAAATTAGCAGCACCCACGTTACATCCGGCGCAAGGCTTCCATACGAGAGGAAAAAGTGATCCTCTCTACACTATACAGGGTGCTCCAGGAGGAAAGGTCAATATTCTGGGAGGGGACAGTGTCGGTCATTTTAAGCAAAAATGTTCATACGAAAATACAAGTCCCATTCCCCACTGTTTCCGAGATAGATATACACTTCACCCTTCATCCAACCACATCCAATATCAAGAACGTCCGCGGGAATTTACTCTTGTACGTCTGTTGACTGTTGCGCCGATAACATTGTAGAAACGTTCAAAATGCCACGCTTATTCACAAATGTCGAACGAGCAACACGCCATGTTCACGCAAGAGTTGAAAAATGCATTGTTAACGGTGCGATTTTTGAAAATTTATTACGACCTATAAAAAATGTATCACTTGAACAAGAAATATTAGAAGTAGTACGCATTTCTTTCTTGTCAGTAATTTTGCAACTGTACATTCAAACGGCTCTATCTCGGAAACAGTGGGGAATGAGGCATGTATTCGTATGAACATTTTTGCTTAAAAGGACCGATACTATCACCTCCCAGAACATTGACCTTTCCTCCTGGGACACCCTGTATATCTTTTTCGTACGAATGTATTTCGGAGACAGCCGAGAACGGCTGCGGCCGCGACGTGATAAAACTGATATAAAAATCAATTTCAACTCTCGTGCTGCAAGTCTGTCGGTCTTGTATGCGTAGCGGATCCCCGAGAGAATTTTTCCAGAATCGTCGCGAGCGAAGATTTAAAAACAATCCTTCCTGGGGAAGACTATTATCTAGCGGGGCGTAAAAGTAATTTGACGGAATTACGGCATTTCGGCCTCTCTTGTGTCAGATCTTCATTGCTATTTTCCAGCAATAGGGACCGCAACGATGCACTAACACGGTATTTTTATCCGAACAGCTATCGATTATCCCGCAACAATACGCGAGGGTTCCTCCAGTGGTCAATATCGCGTATCGCGTGGCCTGAACCTCTACGTTTCTGGAAATGTTATTTCCGCGCGTTTGACTCGTCAAATTAGCGACTCCGGCCGGCCATCCTACACCGTCGACGGTCTTCAAAGATATTGGCGAGCGGCGATCAAAGCGCTTCCGCATCACTTCTTCTTCCTCAGGACGATCCTCTTTGAGGCGACACGTTGTCGAGCCTCCCAGACTCCGGAAGAATGCGCATAAAGGTTATCGACCTGTCGCGAGATTTCACCCTCCTCCGTTTCCCCCATTGCTCTTCCTCTCTTCCTCCAAATTCCTTCTTCCGAAGACGCTTCTCTTCGTTCTTCCCCATTGCGTAATAAGTAAAACTGAGAGAGGAGACGCCACGGCGCGCAGGGAAGAGAAGAGGACGCAGACAGGAAATGAAACAAAACGAAACGGAGGGGAATAGAGGCGAGGAGCCTGGTTTTGGAATGCCAAAAGAAGAGGCTCTACCGAGTGTTCCGTAAACGAGCGTCTCAGGGATATCTCGCGCGCGAGCTGCGCCGATTAGAAAAACGGAAACCGTGCACGCGCGCGCGCGCGGTTGTATAATTTTCCGGTTCTTCGAGAAGCGCGCGAGAAACTGCTCGACAAAAGAGGTCGCATTAGAAATTTTCTGTGCGCCACGAGCACGATTTTTCTACCACGTTGCCGTTAGGTTGCCGTTAGATCCGCGGAAATCTCAGTATTCATAATTTCGCTTCTTCTCTCCCACGCTCCTCTTTCCGAGGGATTTCGTAAGTTTAACAGGGACCCTGGCTCGCGCTCGGTCCCCACATTCCTCGGTCTCCGCGGCAGGAGCCGATACGTAGAACAGCCGTTGAAACCGTAATAGCGCCTAATAGCCCGGCCGCATGAACGTATAGCGGACCACCTAGCGTTAATCGAGCCGATCGAAACGTGTGCACGCGTGAAAAGGAAGGGCGTGAACCAAAGCGCAGGGTCAACGGTCTTCGCCACGGGTACGTCCGTTTAAGAGGCTCGAATGGAACGAATGATCGACCGGGCTCCCACGATGCCGATCATCGAGCCGGCGACCGTCGTCCCGCGAAGCGTAACCCCGTGACCGTCGACCCTTGTTAAAGCCACCTTCCCCTTACGCCCGACTGGGTCACGTATCGGGACGCTCCGAAAATCCAAAATCAATTCCGCGATCCGGTCCAGATAGCTGACGGCGCTCAAGTCAGTCCCGAACGGATCGTACGTTAAGAAGCTCGTCCACCGCGTGACTAGTGACAAAATGGAAAACCGATTCTCTCTCGAGAGAGGTCCGTGTCTAAGAGCAGGCAGAGATTGGTAATGATTATATCAACGTGTGCGGTGAGATCGATGTCTTTATCTCTCGCGGACGTGTAACAGATCAATTCCGCGATCCGGTCCAGATAGCTGACGACGCTGAGGTCAGTCCCGAACAGATCGTACGTGTCGTTGAAGCTTGTCGATCGCGTGACTAGTGGCAAAATGGAGGACCGATTCTCTCTCGATACTGCGTCGAAGAGCAGGGGGAGATCGGTAATAATTATATCAATGTGTGCGGCGAGATCGATGTCTTTATCTTTCGCGGACGTGTAACGGAGCCGCCATCGCGAGAAACACACACCGGGGAGAAAGCAGGACAAACGGAGAAAGAGACTCCGTCTGGCAAGAGTTATGACGGCTGTTCACGTTAGCTCGTGGCATTGTGAAAACACACGGTGCCATGAGTCTGAGAATCGTGTTATCCGTGTAATATAGATATAGAAATATCGAAAAAATTACCCGAATTTCCTCGCGAAAGTGTCTCAGGAATCGACGTTTCTCCGTAGATAAAAGTCCCGTCGCTCAACCGATCGGGAAAGATTCGACGTCGCAGAAATTACATTATCCCGACCTGCCTGAAAAGATCCTAGAGCTTCGTCAATCGTGCGAAAGTAGCTCGGCAAGAACCGATTTCCCTTTTGATAATAAATAAGGATCCCGAGGAGCCGAAGGACGATACGTCGATCTCGCTAACCGAGGGAACTCTCTATGGCATTTCCATGGCGAAATCGCGCCTCCGGAGGAGCCCACGGTGAGAGTCCACGTGAAACTACGCCAATGCGGAAGAAAGACTCTGCGACACTCATCGCACCTTGTCGCGGAAGGAGCCTCTATCGATCCTCGCCGCGATATACCTAGGCGACAAGCCGAGAGAGGAAGTAGAATCGAAGGTGTATCGGCGAGATTCGTCGCTCGCTAAAAGGAGTCCATCCGGCGAGACCTAATTTAGCCCAGCTTGTCGATACGGGACACCCTTGCGGTCGGCGGTGTCCTATCGACGGCGAGATTAGAGCGGCGGTTTCCAGAGCGCGGCTGCGGCGATTTGCCTGCGAAAGCACTCACTTGGCTCGGATGCGCCTGGAGATGTAAACGAGGACTGGCGGACGAAGGCGCATTTCGAGGACAAATTGGAGCAATCTCGAAACGTATCGTCGCACACCTGCGCGTTTAACTCGGGGCGCCCGAACCAGTCACTCCTTTTCCGTCAGAACAAATCTGTGAAACCCGATTCCAATTTTCCTCGAGGAAAGATCGCCCTCTTATTTAGGACCTTGGGGAGAGTCTTAGGTCCAAGTTGATCGCGCCACGTGTAAACGTATTATCATAAATATACGCGCGACAATAGTCTTGTCCGCGGGAGAGGATTTATATTAGATAGTCGGATGGGCCAGAGATAATTGAACGACAAAGATAATCCGCGCGCGACACAGCGTTAATTAAACGAATGCTAATTTCTGAGCCGATACGCTGGCGCGAAGAGTCCGTAGCTCGGGTCTAATTAACGTATCGATCAAAACTGTGTTAATTAACGGCAGATAGACTACATCTGCATCGGAACATTCCCAATTAATCTTGGCGCGACGCACGCGGAGGGTCCGAAATTTTTCCAATCAACTTCGCAAAACGAAAACGACACTTCGACACGTCTTCATAGAGCACAGGCTCCATTGATCCTACCACCCACCCCTCGATCGTCACCGATCAGACCAAGGCGGAATATCTGACAACTATTTGCGATTTCGTAACGTTCGTCGCGATACCTGTCGCCGACAAGAAGACGCGGCGGAACTTGGCAAAATGCGACCACTTCTTCCATCGACGCTGGCGACGTCCCCTTTCCCAATATCACGCGTGACCGATTTCGCAACGCAAGCATGACTCGATTTATCACGGAACAGGGGTTCCGCTCTCGTCGGGGTCCAATATAGGTGCATTCCATCCAACTTGCCAGCCTCGCAACGCGATCGATCTCGCAAGGAGATCGGGGCATCTCGTCGACGCGACTCCTCCTCCGTCGACGGGCACTCCGTGACCGAGCCGCGGAACTGTCGCGATTTCGCGCGCGGTCCATCGACTGGTTCGCGTCGCGTAGCGATAAGCCCTGCAAAGATCATGCCAGCGGGACCACTCACCTTGACGAAATGCAGGTTCTCCTTGTCGAGGAGGAACTCCATGGACTTGTGGGGCCGCTGGTGGATGGCGGACGTTGCGGCGGACACGACGTCGTCGCGGGGGCTCCTGTGCGTAGCGCCGACGGGCGACTGGGGTACGTGGAGGGCGTGCTCGGGCCGCGGCCGCGGCGCCGCCGCCGAGGTGTGGTTGAGGTCGAGCAGGCTGCGGGTCTTCTTACCACCGGCGCCGGCGGCGGCAGCGGCGGCGGCAGCGGCGGCGGCGGCGGCGGCGGCGGTGGCAGCGGCGGCGGCGGTAGCTGCGGCGGCAGCGGAGACAGCGGTCGGGCCAGCGGTGTACGTCGTGCCGTTGTAGCTCGTGTTGATCACCGCCTCGTCGAGGTCGGTCTCCAGTAGGCCGACCGGGCGCTCCTGGGCGGCCTGCATCGCGCGGGCCTTCGCCATCTCGATCGCCGCCGGGTTACCAAGGTCCGTGGCGGCGCGTCGGCGCGACGCCGACGTCGACGCCGACGCTCGCGTCGTCGTGCCCAGAGCGGCGACGCGAGGTGGTTGCGGCGGCAGGGGCGGCTTGCTGGACACTGGTGCCCTCCCGTTGCTGCTGCAACAATGAACAGAACGTACACTCTTCAGGATAGTCGACTTGATCGGTGGCCGAGCTTGGGGGTGTCGGGGCGACTTCAACGACAACGCGGGTGGTTTGACTTGATATACGAACTGCCGGTCGGCAATTTCACCGCGCCACGACCAGGACATCGCGAATCTGGGAAAGAGCCTGGGTACACGAGCCTGATGGACGAGCGAGACCAGCTAGCGTGCACGACTGGTCTTGCACAGCGCCGCGCGTTACACCGACGTTGCACGGGATAATTGGATATCGGCCGATTGCATCAGAGTTTTAAGAGTGACCCTGATACGCGCACTTCGGTGGGGAAGCTCCACGGGCCGATGTTGCGTGTTGCAATTTTACAACTAACTCATCATCTATAAGTCCCAATGACGACCTAGGCACTTAGCATCTCTCGAATGCCAGGTGTGATACAACGAGAGAAGGAGGATCCTTGTTCATAGCTAAATCGTCCGTCGCGTTAAATTAAAGATATTGCTTTTCGCATTCTGTCGCGGCTCATGGAAGATGATTGCTTCATTAAACCGACGTATTAGCCAACCGCGTTAAAAAAAAAGCAAGTCACGCTACGCGAGGCATCGCAGCTCCCTGCGTTTCCGCGTTTCAGCGGCCGGATTGGCGGCGCCGAATAGGAGCGTTTTCAGTTTTTGATCCGCGAGCGCGGCGCCATTGCAACGCGATAATTGGAAATTGGCGTTCGAGCGTATTTTACGCTGTCGCAACATCATCGGTTTTCGATAGCGGACAGTTGGCGGCTGAGTGATGTGCCCTCTTTTTTTCGTCATCCCCTTGACCGAAATCGAGGACATTAACCCCTCGCCTTCGCCGGGGCATCCCGCTTAATCTGATTTGTCCGGCGAGGCTGACGTATCGCAATTATCCGGTTGGGGCATCGCGACAAGCTGATACATCGTAGAAAGCTAAATCGCGATAAATTTGCCAACGGGTATACACATCGCTCCTCAAGTTTGCGTCGTTAAAATGTCAATGAAAAGCTCGCGCGCGCGCGCTGATCGTCGACCGCTGGCCTCGGGATATTAATCACGGGAATTAAAGATCGCCGCGATTACGGCAACTTTTACGCGCGATAAATTACGCCGACTTTCGCTTTTCCACTTCCGATCCACGGGGTCCGGGATTCGCGAGAGACAGTGGCCGGCTTTATTGAGTCTCCTACGGCGGGCATACGGCGCGCCGATAAAAGCGCGACTATATATCTCGGCGAGGGGAGGACAGTCATTAATGAGACACTTTCTATCCGCTGTGAGCGCAGCCACCTAGATAAGGAGCTGGATACAGCGAGCCACTATTCCGAGCTCCTCGGGACCTCGTTACATTACGAATGAGTACGAAGCCGCAATCTGTTGTGAAGCTGTCCGGGAGCTGTGATCTGTTACAGCCGATGATCTTTGACCGCGAGTTTGCGCGATTACAGAATAATCAGCGCTAAGAGTTCGCTTTAGTATGCCCGTACGGGGGGATAATTAGATCGCGAGTTTGATTAACGAGTTAAGCTCCCTTGGACGCGTCGCGTATCTGCGGAGCAATAAGCGGAGGATGCTCCAAATCAATCGGTGTCCTCCCGAAAAGTATGACACGGAGAATCGATAACCACACTATCGCGGCTCGCTAACAATAAGAATCTCCAGGAGAGCCGAGGCGACCCGCGAAGCGAGACGCAAATGGAATTACGACGCGGAAGCCTCGTTCGCACGTGACCCAGCGACGCGTTGCGGCGCGCTCGTCGGTTTTGTTATCGCCGCATTGCGTGAGATCATGTTTATAAGCGCGGCCCACGACGATGGGGAATCATCGGTCTCTAAAATTAGTATACAGCCGATCGTGAAAACAGCGACGGGTTTCTAGGCTCCGGGAACGAGCTGAGAACTCGCGCGCCGAGTGGATACGCTTTTCCGATTTCCGCAAGTGTAGACGCCCAGCTTAATGCCGAAGCCGCAGCAACGATGCCTAAAGGCCCGAACACGCGAAAAAAAAACTTAAGCAGTAAGACTTAAAACTTAAGAGAAATGACCAGTGGCTGTCGAGAACGCGAGCAGCCATTTTGAGACTTAAGCGACGCCGAAAATTTCGATTGGTTGAGATTCTTAAGTTTTAAGTCTCACTGCTTAAGTTTCTTCGTGTGTTTCCAGCTTAAAGACCGGATCAGATTAGCAATTGTCGACTCGAAACGAAGCTTAGCTTAGTCTTAGCTTTACGCGCGGGGCAAACAGACAAAGTGAAGGGGTGGGTTATTAACATTCCACGTGAACGAGCAGACGACGACGCTCGAGAAGGAAAATTATATACGAGATGCCGTACTTTTATCGACATTAATTGGTACCTAATAAGATTTGATATCTCTCTCGAAAATAAATTCCGTAAATTGCAACGACGCCGTCAGGCTAAGCGGAGGTCTAATCCGCGCGAGATGCGGCCTTGCGATACGACGTAATAACTCCCGGCGACGACGGAACGCGGCTGGAAGCCGCGCCGGAATGGGCGCGGGAGCGAGCTTAATTGCGCCGTCGTTAAAGAGTCGGCTAAATGGTAGCGTTTGTTGCGTTTTCGAGGCGGCGGAATAAAGGGGAGAGGGCGAAAATGGACGGTCACCGGAAAAAAAACCACGGGCCAAAGATAAGAGAACACTACTGGTCCTTTTACGCGACGACGAAGAAGGGAGTAAAAAGTCCCGAAGGGGAGGGGACAGAAACCCCGCGACTAGAGTCCCGAACGTGACGTTGAACCCGTCTCGAACGCGACTTCCGGACTCTCTCCAGCCGGAATGGAATAAGATTAATATAAGCTGACTCTCTGACCGGCACTACACCTACACACGTGTGCAAGGTGTATATTTAACTGCGGCATGGGACGAGCGAGCGAGTCCCGGCGTTTGCGTCGCACTAAGTCTAGATATCTAGGAATAGCAAAATATCTCCGTCAGTCTCGTTCGAATATTCTACAAAACTCGGTGATTAGAAAACGAAAGAAAAAAACAACTAAAAAGCCGAAAAACGCCAGCCTTCTCCTATCAAAATCGGAAAAAAGATTGAAATAAACAGTTAAACGAAGAGACAGTTAAAAAGCGAGATAGCGTGTGTCGCTTTTAATTGCGTGACATGAAAAATTAGGAATGAAAAACCTGCTCTGGCTGCACTCTGGGGGGAAAAAAAGGCAGTTAGCAACCCACTTTGGGGCCCACAATTAGTAATCGAATCATTTGGATTCTTCGTAACTCTAATCTTTCACGAAGTTTATCCCGCGTAACTAAAAATCGCAATTAGCTGTTCTATCCGTATCCAAGATTTTGAAGTAACACTAACCAATTCTCTCAATTAGTTCTGTCGAGGCACGCACTTAAGAGGCACGAACCGAAATGTTAAGTTGCTTAACTACAAAAGAAAAACGGTTAAAATTTTTCCCAGAGTAGAACAATCCAAATAATTCGACTACTAATTGCGGGCCCCGGAATGGGTCGCTGTCTTTTTCTTCCCAGGGCATAAACTGCCCTCGGTCATTGAACCTGTCGAATGCTGGCGAATTATGATTTTTCTGGAGCTGAGCGTCGGGCGATACTTTTCACGACCAACTCCAATTATGTATCCTCGCGTCCTCGCCAGAGAAGCGCTCGACCCGCAGATACCAGCTCCGCTTGCGAAAACTCGAATGGCGGCGGCTTCCTAAATTACATCCCGCAGCTTACGATGATGATTCATCGTCCCTAAACGCGAGCGAGCGGGCGTGGGATATTGGCCGCATTCTGTTTAACATCTCGTCAAACAAACAGAGAAACGCAGCCGCCGAAAATCCCCGGCGGGCTGTAAATGAGGTAATCCTACGCCGAAGTATATTACAAGAGCGTAGAAATAAAATCCGAGATGGAAGTCCGTTATTGCAGGCCCGTGTCATAAATCGGAGAGACGGTTACACAATCTCCGCATAAATTATAATCAACATATCGCTTGCAAGCATTAATAAATTAATATTGGCGGTCAGCGACGCTTGAGGAAGTTGACGGGCTGATTGGAAGGATTATAAATCGGCGATCTTAATATTCAACGTCAATTATATCTTCGAGGCAGAAGCTACCGGCGAAAGTTACGCGAGAGAAATGTTAGAGAATCGCCCACGGCTTGAAGAAATAAATAACTTTTCGAAACATTCTACATGACCTAACTGAACGCACCACGTTCGTGGCTCGTGTGCGAGTCAGAAGTTAAGTTAACGTGCTGACGAAAAGACAGCGAAGCTATTTCGTGCTGGAAAATAGCAGCCGCTCTCCTTTTTCTTCTCGATGGAACTCTTTTCGGCGCGGCACGAATCGAAACGAAAGACGCTGCTTCGGCGAAATTTAAGACGATAAGGCAAATGTTTGTTAAAGGCGAAGCGGAGAGGAGGTATCAGATACGTGGTTCCCAGAAGAGCGATCTTGATTGGCGGTGAATAACACGTAGGCCAGTGAAAATACTCGCGGCTACGACGGAGGGAAAAAATTGCCGAGTGATCGTTATCGATCGAAATCGCGGCACCCAGATCCGACTGTATAAAAATTAATTAAACCGTTTTAATTTTAGAGTCCCTCGTTGTTCTATGTGTAAACAAAACAGGCGATCGGAGCGTGAAGCTCGAGGGAGACGCGCCGCGACTCGGGAGGCAAGAAATATGGAATAAAGGCTGCTGGCGGGGAGAAAGGGGGGGGTCCGTGTTATAAAATGCAATTAGGTTGCATTACGCGAGAATGACGTGGCGAGACGCGGGGTGAGAGTGAAATTTAATTAAGAGAGCCGAACTGGTTTCCGCCGCTGCTGCTGCGCGCGGAACCGGGCCAGCACCGCTGATCTGTCTCACGGAGAGAAATGATGCGGGGGGGGGGGAGTCGTCGGAGTCGTCGGGTGGCAAATTCCCGTACGTGAATCAAGTTACATCGATTGGCGAAGTGCAGGGCGTCTGAGGTCCGGAGCGGAATTAGACGCGAGCCGGCCGAACGAGCACGGACAGTCCCCTCGAGGGAGGAAGAAACGTACGTGCTGACGGGCGATTGCGACAGACGAGCGATGGCGGTGTGGGACGAGATGAAAGTGGAATTAAACAAAACTGTGAACGAAGCGGTTTGCTAACGCGCGCGTGGGACGGTGGAAGCGAAGGGATTAAACAAAATTGCATCAAGATATTTAGAAGGGATTTGCCTCGGGAGAAGTGATTTTCTCGACAAGCAAATAATAAGTTGAGTTGCAAAACTGCGGTAAAAAGAAGCGATGGTACCGGGGCTATCAGCCGGAGATTGCTTGACGCGCGGCTAACAAACGTGATCGATAGCGGGACATGTGACCTACAATAAGTTTCCAATGTAAATACTGAACTTTATAGTTCGAGACTGACACGCGACACACGTTCGAATACTTTATTTATAATGCACATCGTGCGCGTGACGAACGAACGTGTATTACATCGCGTGGTAAAAACGCATCGTCGTTAATAAAACGATTGGAAAAGCCCGATAATACGTGAGTTGCCGAAGATCTCTCTATATTTATATACCGCGCAACCCAACAACTTGTTGCTCGCGGATATCCTAGCTCGAGACACGGCAAAATAGCGGTGTCCCGCGTCAAGAATAAATATTTATCGTTGTCTCACTTATTGAAAAGCAGAATAAACATAGCAGCAATTTTGACGAGCGCTGTAGCTTTCGGTTATTCCGAAAGTCACGTTAACGTACGCCATGATTGTCCTCGACGATTTTTTTTTTATATATATAATGATAGACCAGCGAATATCTAACGGAACGTCTCCACGAGTATATTCCACTTAATTTTACGACTTACCTGACACTGGAGGCGCTCCTCTGAATGTCCACATTGTTTCTCCTGGCGGCCTCCTCGAGAGTAACGACCTCCTGCTGGCGTCTCCTCTCTTCCTCGGGCGGGTGCAACGGTATGATGATGTAGTCCGGCTCCTTCTTCCTAGCTGTGGCCGGCTGTTGTTCCTCCTGCGCTCTCGTCGGCTCGGCGGTCTTCTTGTGGGCCTCGGAGCGCGGCACTTTGGTTCTACCGCTGAACCTCAGCCTGGAGAACCTCTGCAGAAAGCCGCCTAGACCGCCCTTCTTTCTCTCCTCGCTCTTCATGGCGGCGGAGGACGAGGAGGACGGTAGGGAGATTGAAGAGACCGCGTAGGTCTTCGGGGCAACAAACGACGACCGTTTCACGCTCGCGACGCTCGCGTCCTGCTTGTTGATGCTCGGCGCGCGTTGCTGCTCGTCGCCCTGACGTTTGCCGCGATCACCACCGCGATGATTCGTATCAACTGCCGCCACGGCCACCGCGGGCTTCCCACTACTACGTTCACCGAGTGAACCCGTACCGCCGGGTGGGGACTCGGAGCCAACACCGCGGACACTGTGTCCCTCCTCCTCTACCTCCTTCTTTTCCGCCGCCTCCATTCTGTCCCTCGTCTCTTCCTCCGTCTCCTCTTCGTTCTTCGTTGTCGTTTGCTTCTCGATCACGACCCTCCACAGACGTTCGCCAGCGCCTCGATCGCTCGAGCCAGGGCTGCGGGAACGATCCTCGTGGTCCCGGTTCGATGACGCGCTCTCCGAGTTCATTTTCCGTTCTTGAACCCTGCTCTCGTCCGCCTGAGGACACTTGCGAGGAGGCTGCGCCCCTCGCTCCGAATAAAACTCGCCGATGAAGCTCTTCTTTACGTCCCCGGTCTCTTCTTCGCCTCGTTTGACGGATGATTCTTCGTCGACGTAGGAACACGTCGTCGAGGAATTTTCAAGGACACTTTTCAATTGGGTTGGCTGCTCCGATTCGATCTTCTCGCGCAAAACGACCCTATTTTCAAAGCAGGATGCTCCTATAGGTTTGGTTTCCAAGCAGGGATAATCTACCTCGTCGTCTAGCAGCCGTGGACTCAGTGCGCTAGCATCGCCACAGGCCGAAAATGGATCCGAGTTTTTTTTTATCTGACCGAAGAACGAGTCGTTCTGCGGCTCCTTCGGCCGGGAGTCCTCGCTGATGTTCGTGTCGGAGCCCATTTGGCGCATCACGTCGGCGACGTTTAGCTTCGAAGAGCGCCCGGACGCAGCTTCCTCTAATTCGTCGCACGCGTCCATCCGCTGGAACGCCGCTCGCGCGCTCTGCGTCGCCTTGATGTAGTCGCACTGCTGCGCCAACTCGTAGCTGGCATTGTTCAGAATCCGCTTTCTCCCAGGGGAGCCAGCTCCGTCGCGAGCTTCGTCGTTGAATTTCTTTTGGAAATTTCTCTCGTCCACCTCGAGTTGCTGCGCCAGCTCGTAACTGGCGTTGTTCTTCACTTTTCGGCTTTTCAGTCGACCGGACGGTGTTCGTTGAATCGTCTCCATCGCCAAAATGGCGGCGTTCGCCACTCCGGAAGCGGCCGCTTCCTCCACCTCGCGTTTAAACTGCTTGATGGCTTCGTCGAGGTCGTTCTCTGTCACCATCGCCATGTCCAACACGCAGTTGGCGCGATCCTGAGTCTTCACCGTAGACGTAGTCTTCGTTTGCTTGTTGCGCGTCTGCTGCGTCTCGCCCGCGCGTTCGACCTTCGTTCGTTCTTCGTTCTCCTTCCCGCGGTCCTCCATATCGCCGTCCATGAGCGCGCCCTGGGCCGGTTGCGTCCTGACCGAGCTGGTCGGGACGACCTTCGTTCCCGCTTGCGTTTCATCGGCTTCTGCTGAATCCGTATCTTCCTGCGGGCTCTTCAGGGTCGCGGCCTCGTCGCCGGGCGCGGTCTCCGCCATTTCGTGACCGTTCATCTCGTCGTCGCACGTAGCGGCGACGCCGCAGAGATTCAAGTCCACCGGCACGCTGGCCACCCGCGTGTAGTTCTCGAAGAGAGAAGATGTCGACACGTAGGAGGTCGTCCTCGAGGCGCGAAGACGAGACGGCGAGCTCAGGCCGCTGCGTGCTGACTCCTCGACACCGTCGAGCAGACTGGGCGCGCTCTGCGACTTGTCCGTGAATCTAAAATTAAAGCGCTCCTCGTCGCTCCACCCTTGGTGTTGTTGTTGGCGGCGACGACGGTGGTGGTGGTGATGGTAATCCTGTTGATCGTACTGCTGCTGTTGGCACTGCTGCGGATGCTGCTGCTGCTGCTGCTGCTGCGGATGCTGCGGATGCTGCTGCTGCTGCTGCTGCTGCGGATGCTGATGATGATGATGATGGTGGTGGTGGTGATGATGATGCTGCTCCGCACCGCTACCGGCTATATTTAACCTAGTCGTCTTCTGGCCGGACTTGAGCTCCAAAAGCGCGTCTCTCTTCGTCTCGACGCCGATCTCCCGCAAGTCGATCGTGTTCCGATAGTCCAAGGACGTCGCGTACTTGCCGGACTCGCCGTACAGCAGTCGATCCTCGAAACCGGTCGTCAACCGGGAATCCGCCTTCGCTCGGCTCCGTTCGTACTCTTCGAAATCGTATTCATCGTCCTCCTCTTCGTCGTCGTCGTCGTCGTCGTCGTATACCTCGTCCTCGTGCCAGAAGTCTCTGTTTCATGTAAACGGACACGGTCCGATATTGGAGAATCTTATTTCTGTCTTTCCCGCTATTCGTTCAGTACAAGTGACGAGATATCGGGACTTGATGCAAATGTTGATAATTTATTTAAAAACTTTGCGTTTGCAATATGGATTCCTAATAAAATTGAGCATTTCTTAAAGGACGCGTGGTGAATGCGAAACATCGCGCACTTAAGAAGCAAATGGCGGTGATCTGGCGATTCGGTAATGCGTTTGTGTTTCAACCGTTTATAATATCGGCAGTAAAGTCAAGGTGGTCTTCCTCAGGGTCGCGATTGCATTTAACTTGGCCGTAAAACGATCGTCACGCGGAGGGGAATTCGGGAATACGAGTGCCAAGAAAACCAAGAACCGCTCAACACCCGGCACGAACGGGTGTGAACGCGCAAACGCACGTACATTGTTTAACCCTTTTATCTTCAGACTGCAGCAGAGAAATGAACTGCGTTTTCTAATTATTTAAGATATTAAAAAAAACAAATTATTTCGACGGATATGCAAACTTTAATAATTAAGAAATCATCGGGAAAAACGTCAACTGCGTTAATGATCAATTAATTTTTAATAACTCGCTTGAGAGTTAAAAATTTTAAGTATATTCTACGATGGGTGTTCAAGGGTGAAACTTAGATGAAATGAAAATAATATACGAATAATGTTTTGTCGCAGAAGGACATGGAAGTGTTTGTCTTACGGATATCCGCGATACGCAGAAAAATGCACTTACCGCCAGTCCTTGCCAACTAATTCGGGAAACAATCCATGATTACAATAGTCGGGTATCTCTATTCTAGCGACGCGTGTAAAAATAGGCGGGCGTGTTAAACAACGCGTGCGCGTATGCCAAGAATAACAAACGAAAGCCTTGGTGGCGTCTGTCGGAATTGCGGGTGGACTAACTGCGTTTAGACTGACTGTACACACGAGCGGGGAAAATTGCTCGAATAACGTAAAATGTATCGAAACTTCAATGAGAAACTTGTACTACCCTATTATCCATTGTATTCCTGTTGAAACTTAAGAGTAACCTTTCTATCACGCTAAACTGCAATATATTTTTTCAGATTCAAATAGAGATTTTTCACTGTGTAAGAGATTCTTTATTTATTAGCGGGGGGGAAACCGCTGGACCAAACTGTTGTACACCAATGCTGACTAATGTCCAGTGGGCATCACTTTATCTTATTTTATTTTTATAATGCCGCAAAAATGCCTAGTAATGCCTAGTAATGCCGCAAATCCGTACACGACAATGCCCTCGGCGGTTTCCCCCTCGTTTATTAGTCATCCTAACGCGTAAGAGTCCAGATTCAACCTACCTGGGACGCTGGTTGTTTTTCCTAATATTCGACAGATCAGCACCCCTCTTCAGGTACAAAGGCGCGAAACCATTCGACATGGACGCCTGGCCGAAGCCCTCGTCCTTCTGGCACGTGTCGAGACTCTCGAAGCTGCGGTAGGGCCTGATCCTCGGGAAATGGTCCACCGTGCTGGCGAAACCGTTCGGTAGCAGCCTATCGTAGTCCTGCTCCAGGCTATCGGGCGAATCGTTCTCCGGATGGGAGGCGTTCGACCGGTTCGAGTATTCCAGGGAGTCGAAGCTGTAGCTGGAAGGCGACAGGGTGGCGCAGGTCCTCTCCAAAGATTCGAACTGCAGCAGCGAGCTCGATCTGGAGGAGGCGGTGGACCTGGAGGACCTCGGCGACGCCGGGTACTCGTCGTAGGCTACTTGCTGATGATGATGGTGGTGGTGGTGGTGATCGGCGCCGTGGTCGCGGCGCCGTCGCTTCTTCGGCACCACCGAGTTGCATTCGCTGCCGCTACCATCCAGCCGCTCGTCTTCCGAGAACAAGGCGACGCGATATGAAGATGACGTCGACGTCGGCGATAACGGGCGGCACGCGAGGACTCCGTGAGAGTAAAAGCGAGACGAACGTGCGCGAGCGCACGGCCTAAACCTACTTTACTCGGAATCCAGATCTCGCATGTTACTTTTAATTCCGCGAATCTCGTTAGGATAGAGACGTGGTGGAATCCGATGCCCGACGACCCACTTCGTAAAATCGAGCCACGGAAGTGAATCCAATGTAACGGTCGCCACTTTCGCCCCGTGCGCTCGCATACGCGCGTACACGTTGCGACGTCCGTCAGGAAGCCACGGTTCATTCAACCGGAAGCAGTGCTTACGGCATCACGCGCGCTGGTCACCATCGGTTGTCAACCAGGTCGTAATTGTCGCGCGCGCCGCGTGATCGAACCGCGTCGATTATCTATCGATCCAAGTGCGACGTTACGTAAGACCATGTCTCGTCTTGATATGCACGTGGTGCATCGCCACTCGAACTTTCGCGGTTAAATTTTGCCGAAACGCGGAATTTAGTCGCTTATTATGCACGCAAGCTTCTTTTCAGTTAAACTAATACTGATTTGAGTTGTTTCAATCTTTACACTCTCCTTAGAAATTGTTTGTTCTTTATATCAGTTTCATGTAAAGTGAGTTTTATTGTACACAGACTTATTTAATTATCTGCGCTCCGAAAGCTCGGATCCCGCTTTTGGCAACAGCCATGTAATCAAGCGATCTCAACGTCGAAGCGCCGAGTATATTCGCTCACGGTTTAACCTTTACAACTCGATTAAGGAACACATAAGTTGGATATAGGTATATCTTGTGTACAGTAACGCTACTTCGATCCAGCGCGATACGTTCCTCGGCAAACAGAACTGGTAGGAATATTGCATCGGCAGCGAAAGGTCGCGCGCGTGCTGGGATATAATTCCGCTGGTTATATTTGTCATTTCATCGAATTCCACCAGTCCGCATCTTAGGGCGGATAGAGAGAATAAAGGAGTACCGAGCTCCGTTTCCATTCTCCTCGGAGCGTGCGTTAAGCTGCATTTCGAAGTCGAGGTGTTCGGAGTTTACTCATCCCCCTCGCATCGATTTCAAGTGGACTTCTTGTAAACATTCTACGCCCTTAAGCACGAAAGATCCGTTGCAACGAGATAAATGTACACGCCCCTACGCACTGCAACCGTACAAGTTGGCCGTTACAATGGCTGCGTGTTCAAAGGCGCGTTCAAGAGCGTGGGTGGGGAAATGCCACTGACTCGTAAGCCACGGATCTTCCGTTTGAATTGGATTACGGTAATTGCGTTAACAACAATTTCAAGTGTCGGCAAAGCTTAAGATAAAGTCAATTGGATACGACAGAAAAAAATTGCAAAAGTAGACGTTTTTAGTTTTGGCTCTGAAAGTCCGTTTTATGTCTTTCAGCTGCGCCGGATTCTTGGCGCATGCCAGTAACACGTATTGAATCGTAATTTACATCGCTTCGCGCAATTCGGGTTTTCCGAAGGGGCAAGGGTAAAATCAGATTTTATATTCGAGTGATCGACCTCCCCCGGTTTTGGATGGCATAAGCGCGACGGAGTAATCGTGCCGCATAATCGCATGTCCGACGTAATCCCCGGTTCTCTAATGAGTCGGGAGATTAGGCTGCCGGGAGGAAAGAGAAAGTGGAACGATCGCGCGTGAACAATGCCTGACTCTCGCGATCATAGCCGCGGGCGACGAAGGCGTTGTTCACAAGATCGCCCTCGACGCGCGACTCCCCCGCGTGATATCGATCAAGTGATAGCGCGACTGCAATGTATCACCGATGTTATGTCCCCCCGTTAAGAGTTGCAGCTCTTACCCGCCGATCTCTGCTTCGTCTTGATGTGGATCACGCTCTCGGTCTCCGAATCGGATCCCAGCCAATACGTCGTTCCGCTGCGATCCGAGTCGCTCTGGAGATCGTCGGACGTCTCCTCCAGGATCGTTTCCAGAAAGTCGATTTGCTGCACTAGCACCGTATCTGTAAAACAAAGCGTGCCCGTCGCATAAGTACCAACTCGTGAATTAATGTTTAGTGTCGTGCGGGTTCGATAAAAAGAATTTGACGAAGTGAAGAAATTAACAAGTACGTCAATTTTAACTTAGGGTCCTTTAAGATATAAAATCAATTTAGAAATTAAAGAGGCCGTTTAGGACCGGGCATAGGTGTAAGTAGCCAGTTAAATTAAATTAATAAGACTGGTATGTAACTGGCGCACAGGATAAGAGTGGAAAGAATACGGTATATGGATTCACTTATTAATTTAATTTAACTGGCTACTTACACCTATGCCCGGTCCTAAACGGCCTTTTTAATTTCTAATTGATTTTAACAAGTACGTTCCTTCAGGTTGCCAGTATTAATAATAAAATTTCAAATTTCAATCGACCTCAGCCGGCCACACTTATTAAATGTGCTTTCGCAACATTTCGACCTTTGGTTCAGGTCCTTATCAAGTGGGATCTAAGAGTAAGTATTTTACATATAAATTACGCGAGAGGTACACAGGCATTGCACAGTATCGCAGACTAATTATAGGCCTATCTTGTTACGGATTTCATGTCAAATACAGGTAAAACCGCATCTAAGCGGAATAGAGTTCTGTGATAAGAACAAAATTCACTGACGTCCCGAGGGGGAAACCGCCGAGGGCATTGTGGTGTACAGATTTGCGGCATTACTTGGCATTGCTAGGCATTTTTGGGGCATCTTTGGGCATTATAAAGATAAGATAAAACAAGATAAATAAGATAAAATAAGATAATAAGATAAAGTAATGCCCACTGAGCATTAGTGGGCATTGGTGTACAAGATTTTGGTCAGCGGTTTCCCCCTCGTGACGTCCGGAGTCAAGGGATAGTAAGATCAGGAAAAAAATTAAATAATTAATTGGAATTATACACTGACAAAAGAATATCTTACTCAAGAAAATTATTCATTAGGTGGCTCCTAATAGCTTATTAACTTAAATTAAAAAAATAATAAACAAATTAAAACATGCATTTTTTAAATTTAAGTATTTATTAAATATCAAACGGTAGATAAGTTTAAATTTAAAAAATTACTCTAATTCTATAAAATGTTTACTAAGATACAAGTTTTACAGCGAAGAAAATTTGATTTCTTTATTTGACCAAAACAATGATTTCATTTAATAAATAGTATTCTCTATCTCGTGAAATCTTTATTTAAGTGTAGAAAATGTAATGATTTAAATTAATTTACTTAATATAATACACAGATTTACTTGAAATTTTATTTTTCTATTTAAACAGAATAAATATTTACTTCAGTAAAGAAAATTAATTTTAAGTAAATCTATTTAGGTACTCGGTTTCAAAAAAATTTTTTGTCAGTGTATGGAAGCAAAAAAAATGAATTGGAATAATCCGCGTTTCTCCGTTCATTATAACAAAATTTACAGTATCTCATTTATCAGGTATACAGTTCCTATTTAATTAAAATCAATCAGAATATGTACTTCCTTGTACACGTACTTTAACAGTCGAATCACGAGGGACTCTCAAGTTTAAGTTCCACGCGCCGCATGCATTTTCCGCGCGCATACGAATTCAACGGAGCGTAAAAAGTGTAAACTCGTCATTTGTGCCTTGTCATTTCGTCGTCGAAAGTGCGGCAGCTGCCTGCCCGCAGAAGCGCGCAAGCGAAATTCTTAACGAGGGGTCGTGACTCACTCGTTATCGACGAGTGCAACCATTACGTTGGAAGATAACGTAACTGGAAGGTCGTCCACCTCTCGAGCTTTCGCCGTCGATCAAAGCCGGTTCGAGGCATTTCGGCACTGTGCGCGCACGAGTTTCCGACAACCATCCTCTGTTTCCTTCAGCACACGAGGTCGACCTTTCCCTTACGATTCCGACATAGCGCACGCTTCGGGGCCCAATTCTTGTTAAACGGTTACTGGTTTATTAAATTCAACGAACTGTCACAAATACTTACAGATAATTAATGATAATATATTCGACCGAATTATCGCCGGCCGTTAATATCTCTAAATAATAGAAAATAATTAAACCAATCAAATGTGAATAATCACAATATACCATTTTCGGCCACAGCTGGGCTCTTCGCAGCCTGATAATTCTGTGCGATAATTTTGCGTACTCTTTTTAAACCCCGCAAACTGCGCGCCCCCCGAAAAATATTTTCAGTATATATCAAGAAAAATAGAAATGGTATATACGTTTATACATTTTTAAAATAAAATTATTATATACAAAATAGAAAAGAAATATATTACATGTATTTTTACCTGCTTTTACAAATATATTTGTTTCCATGGGGGTCGACTCGGTCTTAAAACACAGTCCTTATCAATTGGAACAGCAAATCCGCGTACTTTAAAGGCCAGTTTCACGAACGTTGGTCAACTGCTAGCCGAAGGTTAATTAATTCTCTGTCCCTTCTTAGATAATAAGAAAAAACTAGCCCTGAGGGCCGGTTAACTGTTGATTCAGTCGACTCCCTATCTCTTTCCATCTTACTATTTAAGAAGATGGCAGAGAATCAATTAACCTTCGGTTAGCAGTTAACCGATGTTCGTGAAACTGGTCCTTAATCGATAAACAATTTTAATGTACCGCGCTAGCTCCGGAGCGAAACGTGTCTCTCGTCGAACGGCGAGGTAGAAAGCGCGGCGTGAAAACTTCTGGCAAGTGCAATGGGTTAACCGTCGTTAATCAGGCACCTTCGCACGAAAAGCGACGTACGTGCGGATGTAGGAACGCGAAGCGTCCGTACGTTCCTGCCTCCTTCGTCACCGCGCGATGAATGATGGCGTGAACAGTTAGACGCTCCTGGGAACGGGACATCGCATAGTTGCACGGCGTAGCGATGGAACACATTCGATGCACTCTAGCCGCGAGCGACTGTACTCGCTCCCCCGTGGAAAAGTCAAACGCTATCTTACCCTTTCATCTCGCCGTGATTGTTGCGTAACGTTACGCGCACGCGGTTGTAACATTTGCATCGCGCGATTCCGCGACATGTGGGAGTGCGGCGCGTGTCCGAATTCAAAATGTATTATATTTGCGCGCCGATCTCTCCGGCCGATTTCCGTCACGAGACGCGGACACACACGCGATCGTGGAGCGAGTAGCAAGACGATCCGTTAGCGAAGCTAACGAACGGTCGAATAGACGAGGGCCGGGGTCGAGGCTTTCCCGCGAGACCGTATTGTAATTTTCCGCAGGTGGGCGACGATAACGCTATCGAAATGAACTTTGCACGTCTGCACCGGATGTGCCTGAATGTGATCCGGCAGAGGATGAGGAATAATGCCTTGGCGCGTGGAGAGAATCGTCAACGAGAAAACTCGAGCTGTCGCGGGTCAAGCCGAGTGTTTCCTTTTCCATTCGTACTTAATTAACGCTTAATTACGCCGCAATTGTTACGTCCTCGCACGCACGCGGTCTCCAAGACAAATATAAACGGCCGAGAGGTACTCGAGAGACCAATGGGAAACATCAATCATCGCAGTTCGCGTTCAGTTATTACATACGCAAGTCGGAGGCGCGCGGCTTGATCGTTGTACGCTCTGAATCATGAAGTCGACCGATTAATCGCAATAATTACAAAGCCGGTTTGCGCGAGTGACGCAACGAAACGTCCGCGCGTGGATGCACCTGATTTCCGCCACACCCCTCGGGTCGCTGGGACGACGGACGGACACTCGGCGGAGAGATATTGCCCGCACGCGAGAAACTGCGTTTGTCCGTTAATCAGAATTAGACCGATGTCGACCGAGTCGTTGATCAATTTATGTCAATTTCCACCGATGCAGACTAACTTTGATCCCGGCTTAGCTTACTTTTTATCTTCCTCCAGGTTCAGGAATTGGGAAAACATAAAAACTTAATTAAAGTAGGATTAAAGTTGATATGCATTGGCAGAAATGGGCATTGGAGGGGAAAATCTAGCTAGCGGTTAATTTCGGGAATAACAAAATAGAAGACCCGCGCGGTTTCAATACAAAAACTAAGCTAAAAATTTAGTTTGCTTCATCAGAATCGAATTAGTTAAATTTAGAGAGAGGTGGTGTGTCCTCTCGTAAATTTCATACTCGGCCATCGAGTTGGCTGGAAAAGTCCAGGGGTTGGAAAAACCCATGGTAAATTCCAGTTTTTACCGTCCCGGATTTTATCCAATGGAATAAATTGGCAAAAATTATCAAACTAATACTTAATTATATTTATATTTTAAATTAAAATATATTTATATAAATATGAGTAATTTTTATAGCCTTTATGAGAAAAGATGTTTGTTTTAAATACCCCTGTGAAGTTAGCCCCGCATTATTTAAAATTTTAACTTTTTTTACGAGTTCCCTATAGATTTACAATAGTGCCAGAGTTCTTGATGGGTTCAAGAAATAAGTTCTGCCCATTAAAGACGTTAAAATGAATTTTTGAAAATGGGGGGCTAACTTTACGCAGCCCCCCATTTTCGTAGAAACTAATTTTTTAATGGAGTTCTGGATAGATTTCACATAGTTCTAGAGTTATTGATACATTTTAACAATAGTTCTGCGCGAGAAAGTAAAAAAAACGAAGTTGAAGACTCAAGAAACAGTACCCAAAAAATAGGCATAACTATAAAAGTATTAATGTAGTGGAATTTTACCATTAGGATTTTTTCGATGGAACTCTGCGGGGGCTACTGGGAACTCTCAACAGAACTGCCGGAACTGTTAAAAAATTTTCCTCCTTCGGAACTTGAAAATTTTTCGAACCGAAGGACGAAAAATCGCGAGAACTTTTTCTCGTCGGTCGTAGCGCATCGAGCCTTAAGTCCCAGTCTACAATAGATGATTTAAGCCCTAAGCTTTAAGAAATTGGCCAATCACGGTCAAGTATGAGTAGAATGCGCGACTGTGATTAGTCAATTTCTTAAGGCTGAGGGCTTAAATCTCTATTGTAGACTGGGACTTATAGTTTTCGAAAGAACTCGTGAGGGGCTACCCAGAACTCCCAACAGAACTGCTGGAACTGTTAAAAAATTTTCCTGCTTCGGAACTTGGAAATTTTTCGAACCGAAGGACGACAAATTTCCAAGTTCCGGAATTAAACGGAAAACTCGTGCGGTTTCAACGTGGAGGTCAAAACTGGTAAAAATTTCGTTCGTTTTATCGGAAATGAATTAGTCAAACTTCGCAAAAGGTGCGTCCACCCGTGAATTTCATACTCGATTATCGATTGCACGCACGCGAGAAACTGCATTTGTTAATTAAGATTAGATCAATGTCGACCGAGTCGTTGATCCAATTCGGAGAAAAATCTAGTTCGTAATTAATTTCATGAATAAAATGGGAATCAAACGGAAGACTCGTGCGGTTCCAACTTGGAGGCCAAACCTGGTAAAAATTTCGTTCGTTTTATCGAAACTGAATTAGCCGAATTTCGAAAAAGACGACACGTCCTCTCGCGAATTGCACGCTCGGTCGTTCGATGCCGCGGGCCGTCTCCTCCGAACGCGAACGTCGGACGCGGAATAAGATCACGCGTACCGATACGTCATTAAATGGAAGTGTTTTTAACCGCGAGGCCGGACCTCGTAGCGATTGCGAGAGCGGGTCGTCAGGCCGCTGAAACGCAATTTGTCTTGCACGAGTGCGGAGGCACGCACCAGTATGCAGCATCATGGCGGAGCCACCTGTTGCAGCCGCCTGCCTGTTGCCGTTCCATGACTAACGGACGAGAATAAACCGCCGTAAGCTTACATAAAAATAATCAGCCGGACTAGCGTCTTTCCAGAGACCTTCTAGCGGACGTATGAGCGATATCCGTGATGCACGAGCCCGAACGGGGAGGAGCCGCTCGGACTTGCCTCCACTTGGAGCCAACGCGTTTCAGGGTTTTCTGCATTCTTTCGCTTCTGATCCGGAGCCAGAAAAACGCGCCCGGTTGGCGGGAGGACAACTCCGCGATAACTCGAAAGACGAAAATTGCATATCGGGATTGAAAACGCGACGCCATATCCCGCGCAACGGGGCACCCATTTCGTCATTGCGAATAACATTTTATGGTACACTAATTTTAAGTGTATTTTACTTTCTATCCGTGGGAGATACAAGACTTTCTTTATTCCGAACCGGTCTCTCGGAGCGAATGATAAACTAACCAGAGCGGATAACTTTTCTCGCGCGAGTTATACTCGACCGATTCCCCGCGCTCACTCTCCATTTCTTAGCCCCGCGCGACTCGTCAGCTCGCCTCGCTCGCTAATCGATCCGCGTTAATACACGTGACGAGAAACTTAAGCCGCTTTTTTCCACGGTGTATCGATCAGTCATCGTTATTGTTGCCCGAGCTAATTGTAGAACGCCCGAATCAACCGTGCGAAATTCTTAATCTTCGCTAAGAGGAAAATTCGTTCGAGAATTCGACATTGAAAGTGCGACGGAGGGAAAAAGCGCGGCAGATTTGAATTATTAGAGGAAAGTCCGCTATTATGAGATAAGATTCTAATATGAGATAGCAGGTTTTCAACGTCCAAATTTAATCATACGAGAAACTTAAGCCGCTTTTTTCCACGATGTATCGATCAGTCATCGTTATTGTTGTCCGAGCTAATTGTAGAACGCCCGAATCAACCGTGCGAAATTCTTAATCTTCGCTAAGAGGAAAATTCGTTCGAGAATTCGACATTGAAAGTGCGACGGAGGAAAAAGCGCGGCAGATTTGAATTATTAGAGGATAGTCCGCTATTACGAGATAGGATTCTATTATGATGATATGAGATAGCATCTACCTATATGAGATAGCAGGTTTTCAACGTCCAAATTCTGCCATTTTTTTCGCAACGATCACACGATCCAACAATCAATTTTCCACTAAACAGATTTCACTCCAAGGGAAATAAATTCACGATGGAACCAACGGACGACGCCTATTAATTTAGCGGAAACTCCACCGTCTCGTATTAAGAGCCTGTCTCATAATAGGGGACGTCCCTTTGGTTATAAACGCGCAAAAATTGCGGAGGATCATTACTGTCGATCGTTGTTCGTTGCTGTCGGTTTTCCGCGCTTGCAATTTCAACGGATCGGACCTTGATCGCGAGAATAACCGGTCGTGGCATTGGTCGCGAGTCACATACGTTGGGAGGAAAATTTTTGCATCGTCCGCAATGACTTCTCGGAGTCTTCGCAGAATCGCCGCCGCCGCCGCCACGTCTACTACGCTCTAGATGTTGGCGACGAGGCCGATATCATTACCGCGATTTCCAGCGGCTAGAAAACGGATCGGCTTTGCATACAGATCGCACCGTTAATGACATGCCGCTTTCTACTTAAACGTGGGTGAGAGGCGAACGCCATCAGAAAAACCACGAGCGAGTAAAAATCGCGCGCGTCCTCGGACTTCCGTAAATGCCGTCGCTCGTACGGCCGTATCGTCGATCCTTAAGTCGACATCGTATTCAATTATGCGATCTAATGTATCACATATCCTTTAAAGTCGAACGGCACAATAAAAATTTTGTATGAGTAGCAAATTAAGGTATTCAGGTACATTTGAAAAGTTCGCGAAATCAAGTACAAAGAGCTTATCAACAAAAAGCATCCATATCGATACGCAAAGCCCTTAAATAAGCCCTTCTTAAGCACAGACCGCACTTGCAGTTTACTCCCGTTTAAAAAATCACGCAGATGCGTTCGTTGATAGATTTATATAAAATAAGAAAGTGTCTGATTGGAACTGTATACCGTACAGAAGGGCTAGAACTTCCCTTTCGTTCCGAGTGCCAGAGGCATAAAAGTATACCAACGAAAATTTATATTAGGGACGAAAGGGTTAAACGGTCTCCGTACGTAACGTACCTCTTACGGCTTACATCAATATTCAGAAATCTTATTCGCTGCAAAATGTTAAAAATCTTCCGGTCTCGTTTTGTTTTTAAACGAATGTTGTACGCATCGTAAAACATTTCCTTTCCCAAGCTACGCGACCATGATTTCGAATTGAAAGGGTTAATCGCTTAGCGTGACAGGCCGCGAACGGCGACCTAGATCGCGCTTAGATTTGCGTCAAAGAGTGATCTAACAGTATCCCGGGCTGTTGTTCTACGCCCGCTCGGAAATTCACACGCGGCAAGAGAGAAAGAGGAGGAGAGTCGCTCGTTTCTTTTCCGCGTTCGAGATTCCCCGGGAGATTATCTCTTGCTCGGCGAGGCAAATAATCGCAAATTACAAATATTAAATATAAACGTAATAACGAGGCGCGATGAGTGGTTAAGAAACATCTCATATCGAAATAAATTATCTAAACGTGTGTTAATTAATACAAGTGAAATTTATAATTAAGTCCGCCCGCGAGTGCGAACGAAGCGTATAACTATAATAATATCGCGTTCTGTGTGTTAGAGCTGGGCAAGGCCAGCGCTTTTTCGGCTCGCCGGCCACATTCGAAATTGTCAAGCCTCCCGCGGGCCGAAGCGGTCTTGAAAATATTAAAATTTATCCAATCTTCGTAAGAGAAAATACGAAGTTGATTGAACAATTATATTACAAAAGAAGAAATTTTGACATTGATAAAACCAATTTTTACACGGGGAGAATTTTCCTTCAAAATTTATCCTGAAAGTATTCGTGAGACACCGCGGCATTTCAAAGAACTTCACGAGAGTTTTTTTGAAATTTTACCATGCGTTTCGCTAGCAATTATACTTAGTGCACAGTTAAAAATGTACTAGTAAAATGTATGGTAAACTTAAAAAAAAAACTCTCGTAAAGTTGTGCAAAATCTTGTCCCACGATCACACGACATCTCCGGATAAATTTCAGGAGAAACTTCTCTCCGCGTGTAGGTTCTCTTTCTTTAACGATGGATCATTTCTTTCTTCAATTTTTTATTTTTCAAACTGTTCCCACGGCTGGTTGGCCTGCGTTGGGATACCGAACGCGAGGGCGCGTTAGAGGTGTCGAGCGTGGAGAGAGAGCGCGCAAGTGTGGAAAAAAAAACGAGAACGGGAAGAGAGCGGAAACGTACGAACCATTAGCCCGTAGATCCTCCAAGTGCGTCGGCTGAAACTGGGAGTGATGCTGAAGCTGGAAGCCGTAGGCCGGAAGCCAGGGATTCGGCCCGTTCACCAGGTCCATGTCGGCGGCGGACTCGACGCAGTCCTCCAGGGTCAAGGCCGCCGGGTCCTCCTCCTCCTCCTCCTCCGCGGCGGGGGTGACCGCGGGGGCGACGGCGACGCTCGCCGGCGTCAGCGTCGCCGTCGCGCTCGAATCGTTCCCGCTCATCGCCGTCGCGCGACGATGACGACGAGCCCTCCTCGCCCGGTCGTCCGCGATCGGCACCGACGATCGTTAGCCGCTCCGACGAACTGTGAACCCCCGGCTCCGGCTCTCCCTCATATCCCACGAGGGCTACGAGCGCGGCACCGGAAGCCGCGCCGCTTCTTCCCGACCGGAGGGGAGTACGGCGAACCGGCCGACCGACCGCGTCAGATTCGGCACGATTTCGGCATGTTCCAGGCACGTCGGACCCTCTTCCCTTCGGCCTTGCGCACGCTGGGAATGGCTGAAACGCAAACGGGAGCCCGATTAGCTTGATTGAGAGATTACGCTCCGGTTTTTCCGCTTACTGCCGCTTAACTTTACCCTCAGCTGAACTTTGTCTCGCTCTACGGAGACGGAAAGAGACAAGAGGACGAGTCAAACTGAGATTAAAGTTGAGCAACGTTGGAAAAAACCAGGACCCTGGTCTACTTTTAGATTTTTTCAGAAATACCGCGGGGCAGTCGCCCATGTCCGCGCACACTTTTCACGATTGTTCATTTCGCTCTTGGAAAAATTCGGAAACGAATCTCCGCCTCGCGAGCATCCCCGGGATTTTTGCATCGCGACGTATTCCCGGATTCGTACGGTCTCTCTTTCTCTCTTCCTCTCTCTCTCTCTCTCGAGAGAGAGACCTCGCGACGCCTTCCCGTTCGAATTCCTCGGCCTTTGAACCCTCGCGAGATTTAAGATCTCAGGAACTCGAAGATCCGCTTAAACGAGCGCCGGGACCTCCGCGACGTTTAAGAATGCCGAGACTTCCACATCCTTGACTTCCTTGAACCCCGGGGCCCCCGCACAAACTTTCTCCGGTGGAGCCTCTCGCGCGCGGGCCGGGGGACGCGGACGGGGAGGAATTCGCGATGGAATCCGTTCGCGATTCGTCGGCCGGGAGGGATCCGCGAGTGCTCCAGGCGCGGAGTGCTCAGGAGATGAAAGAAAGATACGCGCCGCGATAGGGGCGCACCTTAACGAGCGCGTGTACCCTGGGCGGGCGTTAAATATTACCGCGAGCCGCGGATTTACATGACACGTCGGCGAAGGGAAGGGATGGGGGGCGGGGAGGGGGGGCGGAGGGAATCGTCCGCGCAGGTGGGAGTTGCGTTTGTGTGTAATTGGATAAAGATCGGCTCGGGTCGTCGTCCTTACCTTTCCCTACCCGTCGTCGTCCCTTTCCTCGCGATTCCACGCGGGCGGCGGAAATTTTACTGCCGCCGTATTTCTTTCGGCGAGGCAGACCGAGGAACGGCTTTAAGGCCGATGCATACGTACGGCGCGCTCTCGATCGTCTTCCCCGATAAATCATCGCGAAGGAATGCCAAGGTGGGAAAGGGCTCGAAAGACGCGCGGAAAAAGATCGCGGTTGCGAACCTGCGCCGCTGACACAATGGAACGAGAAATTAAAATAAGAGAAGGGAGTGAGATTTGATTTAAGCGAACGATATTGTCTGTAGGCCCGTTTCCACGACGCTCGAACTTGGTCCAAGGTCCAGGGCCTAAATTCCGTACACGATTACCGACGACCATCGATACGTTAACGACGTTTGCGCAGCTTTTCTATCATGTAGAAAAAGCTGCGCAAACGTCGTTAACGTATCGATGGTCGTCGGTAATCGTGTACGGAATTTAGGCCCTGCTTCGTGAAATGTGTAGCCAATCAGCTTACAGTTGTTCCGTAAAGGCTGCAAGTTGATTGGCCACACATTTCTCGGAACTGGAACTTGGATCAAGTTCGAGCGCCGCGGACACAGGCCTCAACATTGACTTTGTCATGTCAGTTAGTAATTTTTAAAAAAGAGCCTAATTTTTGGTTGAAATGTCTAATGACGAATCAAAAAAATAGAAAAACGCAATGCACTTTGTCGGCGTATTGTGGTGCTAATACGTGCAAAAATTATTAGTTAAATACGTACTCAATGTGTAGAGTAAAGAAAAGCGCAATTATCGTTTAGTTAATATAGTTTTCACGTCGAAACAAGTACTTTACAGCTATTTAATACGGGAGAGATAAAAGTGTTTGACTATCAACTGTTAATTGAAGTTACGTGCGCACCAATAACAGCACTTGGCTCTTATCGCCTTCTTATATTTTGATTAGATAAAAGCGAGGGGTAAACCGCTGAGGGCATTGCGGCGTAGAGATTTGCGGCATTTTTGGGGCGTTACTAGACACTCTTGGGTATTAGTTTTGGCCCGTGGGGGAAACCGCTGACCAAAATCTTGCACACCAATGCCCGCTAATGCCGAGTGGGTTTCCCCCTCAGTTTGGGCATCAGACCTTGCTGGGGCATTATAGAGATAAAATAAGATAACACAAGGTGAAATCAGATAAAACGAGATGAATAAGATTAAGTAAGATAATAAGATAAGGTAACGCCCACTGGGCATTAGTGGGCACTGATGTACACGATTTTGGTCAGCGGTTTACCCCTCGGATAAAAGTATTCGAGGCAGATCAGTATTTCGTCGAGCCACCTTTTGCCTTAACAATGCTTCGACATCAGTTTACCGGCATTTATCATAAAAATTAGATACGCTAACGAGATATATCGCGTTTCTTTCTTTTTTCATTTCTGACCCATCGCGATAGACATCTCGTGAAAAACTCACGCTGCTTTTTTTTTTCTCGCAGGGGACGTACGACCAGTTCCGCGCAGTAATACGTTCGCAGGGCAAAAATCCGCAACAGGTAGAAAGATTCTCGTGTATTACCGCGGGAGGTAACTGTTCGATACACGTGCGCGTGGCCACGACGATCCTCGGGAGAGCGAGGGTAAACAGTGCAAAGAAAATTCCCCGGCCGACCCTGGTCTCTCCGCGGTCTTTCTCGATCCGCGCGGCAAGAAGCCGCGGGGCGAGACGGGGGAAAGAGAGCGCGGTCGCCGCGAGTGCACTCCTCCTCGATCGAGATAAACGCTATCGCCGTTCGCACGGAACGCTCCGGCGACGTCCTTGGCGGGATTATTTCAAAAGCGTGGAAGGTATCCACCGCGGCCGCCGAAGGAGAACCGGAAGCCGTTCGCCGATAAAGGATCAAAGTACGCACGCGACTCGTTCGCGTTAATTTGCAAAACTACGTCATTCCATTCTTCGCGAACATATGGAAACGCGAGGTTTAACCTTTCCCGTTCTCTCCCCCCTTCCCCTCTATCTTTCTCTCTCCGTTCGCTGCCGATTAACGGAGCTTGAATCTCTTCGTTCGGGCATCGCGATCTTCTTCTTCTTATTCTTGGCACCCGGCTCTAACTCAGAGCCGACACGTCGAGCCAATCATGGTGTAAAACACACAAGGTGAAACGTCGCGCATGTAAGCAATTTTTGGGGCAAACTGTTCATTGGTTCTCCCTGCATTCAACCGCAATGATTCGCAGTTGAGGGTTGGGGCGAACTTCTGATTGGTCAATTCGGTAGTCCGGGCCGCTTCTGATTAGTTGGCACTGCGCATCCACCGGATTGCTTCACCTTGCATCTTTACACCGTGGAACCAATAGTCGTCCGTGTATTACTTAGGGCGTTTTCTAGCAAGGACACAATGTGACGCAGTGTAACACTGTGAATCATTACATCCTTGGTGTTTGCCAATGTTAAACAAGGATGAAACGATTCGCTGTGTTACACTGTGTCCTTGCTGGAAAACGCCCTTAAGCCAACGGCACACGGTACTATTTTTCCTACTGGATTGCTTACGAGAGCCAATCAGGATGCAGAGTTTTAGATCAGGTGACTTGAAGCTAAATCCTGGTTGGCTCTCGTAAGCAATCCAGTAGGAAAAATAGTACCGTGTGCCGTTGGCTTTAGTTTCTAATAATTTTTCGAGCGAGTTCCAATTACGTTCGCACAACGCAGGGGCCCGACAATGTCGGGCCTCGCCGGGCATCGCGGAATCGATCGATGCGCGCGTTATCAGGACTTGGATTATCGATCGGACGTCGATCGCTCGAGGGCCCCCCGTGCGCCCCGGCGATAAGCCGCGTCGCGAAAAAGAATCGCGCGCAACCGCGGGCACCGGCGTCGCGCACTCTGTCCCTCTCCTCGTTGCACCTTACGCATCACCGTGTATTTACGGCAGCGCGCGTCTGGGCTACACGCGGACACTTTCACTTTACGTAACTTTATTCACGGCGGCTAAGGGCGACGAACTTTGACTGCCTCGCGCCGAAATCCATCCCGGGCGTCCGGGGATAAATCTCGCGTTTCTCCGAGACGAGGGTCCCCCCCGAGTTCCTCGACGGTTCGAGCGCGCGTCAATTCTGTACCAGAGGAACAAGAGAGAGAGAGAGAGAGGAAATGAAAAGTCCCGAGGACCGATAGCCCCGGATGTTTGATATCCATTTCTATCGCCGCGGATTAATTTCGATCTCGGCTTAACTTTCCTCTTCTAGCTCCGGGAGTTGAAACAAGATGAAAAATGTACCGACGTTAATCTACACCGGTAGAGAAACGATGACATCAGATCGCCTCCGCGCGTCCGAGGCCACGGGGATTTAGAAAATTCCAGAATCGCAGGCTCGTAAAAGTTTCACCGGGGGAAACAAAATGCGAGCCACGGAGAGAAAGAAAGAGGGAAAGAGAAAGACAGCTGTCATCGAGGAAGATCGCGGCGAGAGTGAGAAAAAAAAACAAGAGACCTAGACGGGATGCGTAAACAGCGACGTACGCACGGCGCGAGAACGGCGGGGACGCGGGTGTGCGAAAGCGCCCGTGCACGCGCGCGCGCGCGCGCGCGAGAAAGGGAAGAAAAAGAGAGAGAGAGACGGACGACGCCAGGCGCGACGATAGACGAGAACACGGAGGAGGCGCGCACTCCGGAATTCTCGGCGAGTGCGGCGGCGCGGCGGATATCTACCTGTCAGCGTGCATTCCACGAATCCACGGATCCGCGTGCTGGGCGGCGCGTCGGCTCGGCTCGGCTCGGCTCGGCGCGGCGTGCACGTTTCCGCTCAAACTCCCCTCGTGCGGTGTCCCGTGCGTCGGAGCGCCGCACCGCGCACTCGCGCCGCGCGCTTACTACTCGGTGCTCCGCACTCGTGGACGCTCGCGCACACAGACACAGTCACACACAGTCACACACACACACATACACGTACGCACGCAGACGCGCACCGGCGCACTTCACTCTCTCGTCGTCAGTCACTCCCCTTTGTCGCGCGTCGCCGCGTCGCGACGTCGTATGCCGGTGACGCGACGCGCGAATATGGCGCGCGCGCGACGCAGCCACTCACCGTCGGCGCCGATCGCACTCGCGGCGAGACGCGAAAACGTGGCCGCGAGAGAACCGGGAGGCTCCTGGCGTTCCGCGGGCGCGCGGCTTTCCTTTCCTCGCCGCGGCTCGTCACCTCGCGCTCCGGTCCTTCCCCCCCCCCGTCCCCGACACCAGCCCCCCCGCCCCGACGCCGCGGCGCTTCGTTTCGCTGTCCGCGGCGTTTTGTTTTTGTTTCGCGACGCGAAACGACGGCGTTGCACACACACGCGCGTGTAACGGCGGCGCGCACGGGCTCTCTCTCTTCAGACCGGGCCGGAACGGGAACGGGACACCGCGCGCACGACCACTCGGCTTTAAGCACCGCGGGGTAAATACTACTACAACGAAACGCCGCCGCCGTTCTCGCCCGCGCCGGCCAATCCCCACCCGCGCCGCGCCACCACGTGGTAGGAGCGGCGGCCAATCGCGCGCCGCGGGGCCGCTCAATGACGGCGTTCGCAAAGCCATCTGACGGCTGGATCGGCCCGAGCTCTCGCTCCAGCGATCGTATCGATCGGTCGGTCGTTCGATCGCGCCCCAGCGCGCGGTTTCCGTAACCCGCCGGCGATAGTTTTCGGTATCCGCTAACCAGCGAAAACCCACGAAAGCCGCACCTCGTGCGAGAGTCGTCCTCGCTGTGTCGATCGTCGACCGTTAACGATCCCGGGAACTATCGGTAGCGAGAATCCGTATCCCAGGGGCTCGACTCTTGAATTCATTCGAAGGAGAAACGAACGCGAAAATTCTGCTCTTACAGAAAAGTTGCAAATTGATTGGCCGTCCCCGCGTGGCTTTTGACCAATCGGCCTGCAACTTTTCTGTCGGGGCGGAATTTTCGCATACGCTTCCCCTTCGAATGAATTCAAGAATCGAATCCCAGAGGCCCGATTCTCGAAATCATTCGAAGAAGAAACGTATACGAACATTCTGCTCTGACAGAAAAGTTGAAAGTCGATTGGTTAAAGCCATGCGAACAGCCAATCAACTTGCAACTTTTCTGTAAGAGCGGAATTTTCGCATACGTTTCTCCTTCGAATGAATTCAAGAATCGAATCCCTCGAGCTCGATTCTTCAATTCATTCGAAGCAGAAACGAACGCGAAAATTCTGCTCTTACAGAAAAGTTGCAAATTGATTGGCCGTCCCCGCGTGGCTTTTGACCAATCGGCTTGCAACTTTTCTGTCGGGGCAGAATTTTCCCATAAGTTTCTCCTTCGATTGAATTCAAAAATCGAATCCCTGGAGCTCGATTCTTGAATTCATTCGAAGGAGAAACGTACGCGAAAATTCTGTTCGTACAGAAAAGTTGCCAGTCGATTGGCTAAAAGTCATGCAAACAGCCAATCGCCATGTAATCTTTCGGCAAGAGCAGATTTCTCGCACACGATTCTTTTGCGAATGATCGAGAATCGAGCCCCTGAATGTCCTATTTCATTCGCCGTACACGACAAACTCTTTAAGCATATCGAGTGGCTGCAAAATAGAAATTTCCAAAATTCTAAAGCCTATCACACAATGCCAGGCAACAGGCAATAGAATTTTTGACGCGTTGGATTCGTCGGAAATTTTCTTCCAACCAATCCAACGCGTCAGAAATTCGATTTCCTGTCCCTCTTGCCAGGAGCTCGATTTTTGAATTTGTTCGAAGGAGAAACGTATGCGAAAATTCTGCTCTTACAGAAAAGTTGCAAGTTGATTGAATATACGCGTGGCTTTTAACCAATCGACTTTCAACTTTTCTGTCAGAGCAGAATTTTCGTATAAGTTTCTTCTTCGAATGAATTCAAGAATCGGGCCCCTGGCATTGTGTTTGGGTCTTAAGACAATTTTTCTATTCTACAGTCAATCGGTACGGCGAAAAAATTTGTCGTACGACAGAATAGAAAACATCTAGACACTCGAGAACTTTTCTATTCTGCAGCCGATCAACGCGCTTGAAAAATTTGCCGTACAATACGACAAATGTAACACCAGCCTCGCGCGCGCGTTTCCATCGATGCAGACTAACTTTAACATCCCGGTTTAACTCGCTTATCGTCTTCCAGTTCTGCGAATTAGAAGACGAGATAACGAGCAAATTAAATCGAGATTAAAGTTAGTTTGCATTGGTGGAAATGAACGTTGAAACGAATCCCCCTTGATTCCTCGCAGCGATACGTGTACAGACACGTGGCTTTTTTTTCCTTCCGAACACGACGTGCGTCTCGAGAGAATCCACATTACCTTCGTACGCGAGACCGCGGGCACGTTCTCGCGATGAGGTCTCGATTTCCAAGCAAACGCGCACCGCGCTTACGCGACTGGAATCGCTAACTAGCCGCTTTCATGTCGCGCGAAGCGTATCGCTCCTAACGAGATTCAATAGCGCACTGGTGTCCCACACCGCCCGGTCGTCCAAATGAATCATCGGCTCGTTACGTCATTATTTACTCAACTCTTTTAAATTACGCACGCCTCTGACTTAAATTAACTCGCGAGATATTTATTCTCAATATATAATCGCTTTTTTCGACGTTATCAACCTCGCGTCGCAGGTGTTTCAAGACCTGTCCGGGCAAACTCGCTGCGCGTAATCGTACGCGGATAAAATTATCCGATTGCATTTCGCGCGCGTGTTTTTCGGAAAAATGCAATGAGGTAATTTTCTTTTGGGCATACAGTAACGCGGCTATGAAAGCTGTCTGAATTAATAGGCTTTCATAGACAGCACGGGATCGCAATAAGTTTGTTAAATCTCTTCTTAAATTCTTCCTGAATTAATGTAATGCTCAAAACGAACCCATGCCTGTTCAACCTGAACTCAAAAAGAAAGTCCTTTTCGACGCGAATTCTTATAAAGTATAATTTCTATTTTCACAATGAGAATTGACGACGTGAAAGCCATTTTCTTTCTGGACTTTAGGAATGTTTTTAGAACAGAGATGGGGTGGAAAGATAATTCATAATTTTCGCCGCAATTCTTTTTGGATTCTTCGTACTAAGCTTAGAGGTAAAAAAGAAACGGTACATCGATCGTCGATGGAGCGTTCGCCACGCAAACGGCCCGCGGCGACGGCTTATAAACGCAGAAGGAACTTAATCCCGCGGCCACACGAGTTCCTCTCGACATTCGGTGTCGCTGACCCGGCTTGTAAAAAAAAAATAATTCCGGACCCGTTACGTATTCGTGCCGTTCGCCCGAATTGCCGTGACCGTTCGAGCCGAATTTCGGGGCCGTCGATCATCGAACACTCTCGGAACTTTCGTTCTCTATCCCGCATTAAGCGAGCGTGCAATAGAGGATGTTTGATGAACCATAATATACAATAGACGATACTCGGCGAATAATTCAGACGAGAGACTCGTGGAGATTCGCAGAAATTTATTACACCGCGCATTTTGCGCACAATTGGTCTCGCTCGCGGTGGAAAACTTCTTAGCAACAGATCTCTCGGGCCTCTCAGGTGAACAGGAGAATCAGTAAACTCGTGCCGAGGGTCTTCAGTGTCGCTCGACGTTCGACGCCTCGGGGATCATGAGACGCGACATTTCTCACCTCGGCCTCTGAAAGACATTGTTTTTACAGTGACGCGAGCGAAGCTAAACGTTCGGTCGAAGGTCGCGCCGTTGGAAAATTGGAGTAGCGCAGAGTTAAACGACGAAACGTATTGGTTCATCCGATAAATAGTGCGGTATACAAGAGGCTTGATTTATTCTTCAGCCCAAAAGCGAAAGATTCTCCTCGCTAGGGAATTGCTGTTGAAATTAAATGACAATGAAGAATATATTTCGGGTTGAAACTTCAACTTTTTCCATTCTCAAAAGTATCCCTAAGAAACCACTTTACTCATTGGATTGACCCAATAGATATTTCGACTTAATTGTTACGCGATCTTCCAGTCGTTACACGGCGGTGTCCGCCACGGAGAAAAGAATAAGGAGACGAGGATGCGGCGCTCCTCTCGCCTCGACGCGTCCTCACCGTATTCGTAATATTGCGACGGCTCCGTCGGCTCGTCCTCGCACTCGTCGCTGGCCGATCCGGTCCTCGCGGCTTCCCGTCTCTCGCGCTCATCGGCTTCACCCCCGAGCGGCACGTAGCCGGATCTCGCTACACGATTCCTGGCGGCCACCGCGACCTAGAAAACGCGGCAAGAGTTTCGTCCTTCAGCACTAACCATATTCGTAGACCTGCTCGGGTTCCTCGTTCACCGTTTCTTCGTCGGCCTGCTCCGCGGTCTCTTCGTCGGCGCCCTCGTCGTCGAGCTTGTCTTCCTCGTCGCCCTCATTTTCTTCCTCTTGTTCCTCCTCCTCCTCTTCCTCCTCTTCCTCCTCGTTCTCATCTTCGTTGTTCTTCACAGCTGACGAACGATAAGGCCTGCCCTCGTCGAGCTTACTTCGAGACCGACGATGTCTTCGTGCGACATTGTAGTCATGGCTGCGGTAGACCTGCTTGGCCCTGCGTGGATGTTCGAGAAGACGGCGTTGCGACGATTGCACGAAGTCCCCGTGAAAAATTGGTTCTATACACGAAGCGCGTCCGCGGATATTCCTTGCAATTACGGCCGACACGGGCGATCTCGGAGAGTCCCAGTCGAGACCGTCGCCGGCGGTACGAATGCCCGATAGGACGAAAAGCGTCGAGAGAAGCGCGAACGCGAGCATAGCCTGAGCCTTGTCATTATCGATCATCGGCGACGCGACTGAACATAAGCGCGATCAGATCAATTGCCTGCACTCGAGCGCAATCGCAAATCGCTTGAAACAACTTTCGTCGCGTCTCCGGCACGAACAAAAATACAATACCATTTTGCAGCCGTACAAGTGACTTGAAAAATATTGCTTAGTATTGTATTCTAATCTTAGTATTACATTATATGATATATTGTGTAATCTTAAAAATATATATTGTATCTTATAATCAACGAGTACGTAAATTCGACAACAGAGCAACTCTCTCACGTAATAATAAAAAAATAATTTTTCTTAATCCATACGTAATCAAAGTGAGAGTACGCAGTACATAAACGCGGTATACAGTCGAATCTAGAATGCATATATTATGTGTATCATCTTTTATAGACTGTCTTTTAAACCACTGCTCTCTAAGCAGGACAATTCTCCAGGTACATTTTTGTCACGATGTCGGGGCGGCATCGACTCAAAACTATGTAGTCCGTGTTGGTGCAGCCCACCACGGGACATCTGTAAATGCAGGCGTAAACGCTGTAGCGGCACCTTCCAATGTCCGGGATCCGATTCTTCAAACTCATTCTTCGACGGAGAGAAAATGTATGCGGAAATTCCGCGCTGATAGAAAGGTTGAAAGTCGATTGGTTAAACATCATGCGAATAGCCAATCGATTTGCAACTTTTCTGTAGGAGCAGAATTTTTGCATACGCGTTTCTCCTTGGAATGAACTCGAGAATCGAGCCCCTGGCGTTGCACGTAAAACGTACTTGGTGTTTTTGTTCTTTTGCAGCATCGCGACGAGGCTCTCTCTGTCGTATACGTGGCCACAGGCCGTATTCTTCACAGGATCGGTCATTCTCGTCTTCGAGATCGGATCGATCACATTTATTTCGCTGCATGTCAGTTGTATATCAGCGTCTGCGTCACCCGCTCCGTTACTCAGCGCAGCTTTATTGGCTGGAAGATTCGAAGATTTAATCTCAGAGAGGAGTACGTAAAACGAAGAATTAACTTGGCGCGATCCAGAATCCCCCTTTCGGGCTTGTTACCTTGAAGCAGGTCCTCGATCTGACGGTCATACTGCAACAGTCTGTTGTCTTTGGATAGATCAACTTGGATTTCGGACACCTTCTTTTTATAATCCTGTTACAAACGATAACAAATGTGCGCTTACAATCGCGAAAATAAATCCAATAACTTGTACGCAAAGCGGTTGTTACTTTTGTGAGGTTCTTCGCGTCTCGTTGCAACTCGTACTCGGACATGCATTCCAGCCCCTCCTTGATCTGATCCGCGGCCTTCATTCTCGCGTACTGCATACAATTCTCCGCTACGGCCTCTCGTAAGTTCTTTAACATCGTCTGCATCTCTTTCTCGTCATCTAAAGACGTACATTTCATTTTCTTACAAAAAAAATAGAGGAAAAGAAACGAAGTTTTAAAAGGCTTCGCCTCTAAAGGCCTGCGTCCGCGATGCTGGAACTTGATCCAAGTTCTTGTTCCGAGAAATGTGTGGCCAATCGACTCGCAGCTATTCCATAAGAGCTGCAAGTTGATTGGCTACACGTTTCTCGAAACTAGAACTTGGACCAAGTTTTAGCACCGTGGACATTGGCCTTAACGCTGCATTTTCTGCGCTTGAAACGAGAAGCACAAGAAAGAAGGGCAAAAACGCGAAAGGAGGAGGGGGGGAGAGAGAGAGAGAGAGAGAGAGAGAGAGAGAGAGAGAGAGAGAGAGAGAGAGAAACACGAGCACTCGGATGGCCCTGTGTTTGAATTCTATCCCAACTTCACTTCCTCAAAATCTCACCGCAATATTTCATGATGTTCCCTGCCGTTCTCGCAAAACAATTGTCGAGTTCCTCTAGCGTTTGCGTGGATTGTGTCATTTTCACACGATCTTATTTCCCGTCCGAGATATCGATGCCGGTCGCCGAGTCTCCATCCAGCCGCCATGTTTTATTTGATACCGTTTTCGCTCGACCGATTCCAGCGCCTTGCTCCCGTTTTCATTTTTGGAACTATATTCTCCGCTACGCCAAGCACTGCCGATAAAGTCTCCACTTGGTGCGCGTCCATTTTTCAAGCGGGTAATGCAGTGCCCGACTTTGGCTGCGTTCCGTACGTGTTGCACGCGCGAAATGTACGCGGTAACACGAGTGTGTTATTGATCTTTCGTAACGGAAGTAATCGTTGATATTGAACTAATTGTAAAAGTGGATGTCAAAACAAAAATGGACGTCGAACTCCTGGCGCTTTTTCCAAATGCCACTTCACTCGCGAATTTACACTTCCATTTGTAAAGTCACTTGTCATTCTTAAGCCTCCGCTACAATGATTCTCGGTTCTGTCTACAATGGTCGTAGTCGTAGTCGCTCGATAAGAATTGACCAATCGCAGTCGATTATTCTTACGACTACGACCATTGTAGACAGAACCGAGATAGCTCTATGGAACCGAGAATCATTGTAGCGGAGGCTTTAAGAATTGACCAATCACAGTCGATTATTCTTACGACTACGACTTTACGATTTCTATGTAGACGAGGTTTCACTGTATCCAAACGCCACTTCTTCGGTTTTCACCGTGGAATCCGATTGTCACAGAGTCCGATTGCCACTACGAAATGTTCGATTACGTCGAGCATCGACGGCAAATCGCGGGAATTCAACGATCGCACGATGATATCACTCACCGACTATTCGTAGAGAGCGATCGCGGTTTCTTCGCGCA